GCTCCAGGCTCTGAGCTGGCAGTCAGCACAGAGCCCGACGCGGGGCTCGAACCCACGAACCGCGAGATCATGACCTAAGCGAAAGTCGGACGCTTAACCGACTAAGCCACCCAGGCGCCCCTGATTATGTTGAATTTAAAGAACAATTTGGGGAGAATTGGTATTTTAAGAATAATGAGATTTCTGAGTAATGAACATTATCTCTCCATTCATTACATTTTAAAAAATTTCTCTCTGGGGTATCTGGTTGACTTAGTCAGTTGAGCATCTGACTCTTGATTTTGGCTCAGGTCATGAACTCATGGTCATGAGTTCAAGCCCCAGTTGGCCTTTGCACTCCAGTGAGGAGCCTGCTCGGGATTCTTTCTCTCAGTCTTCCTCTGCCCCTCCCCTGTTCGTACCTGCATATGCTCTCTCTCTCTCTTATTCTCTAAAAAATAATTCTCTCAACAGTGTTTTTTATTTTTTATTTATTTATTTTTTCCTTAAATAGTTTATTGTCAAATTGGTTTCCATATAACACGAGTGCTCATCCTAACAAGTGCCTTCCTCCATGCCCATCATCAACAGTGTTTTTTAGTTTTCAATGTATAGGTCTTGTTTATAATTTTTTTCAGAACCTGCTGAGTATGACTCTGTTAGTGCTCTACATCATAAAAATAGACCAAGAAGTCTTATAATGCGTATTCCAAGTAAATTGAATTTCAGAAAAACGAAAGCTGTTTGTTAAGCAAATGTCCTTAAAAGCTGGAGGAATGGATGCAAGAGGGAAGAAAGATATTTGAGCTATTTAGGCATCATTTGGACATCATTTGGTAAGGGATGAAAAACATGACTGCTTTTGATAAAACCATTTTATTCCCAAATTTTTATATAAAGTCTTTGAGTTACCTCCCTTGGCCTCCAGTGTGGCTGCTTTCTTCTTCTTTGACATTTATTTATTGATTTATTTAGATGTTTATTCATTAAAATATTTTTTAATGTTTTTATTTATTTTTGAGAGAGAGAGACAGAGTGCAAACAGGGGAAGGGCAGACAGAGAGACACAGACTCTGAATCCAAAGCAGGCTCTAGGCTCTGAGCTGTCAACACAGAGCCTGACTTGGGGCTCAAACTCAGGAATGGTGAGATTATGACCTGAGTAGGAGGTCTTGAACCCACGAACTGTGAAATCATGACCTGAGCTGTGATGAAGAATAGGATGCTTAACTGAATGAGCCACCCAGGCACCCCTTCAATTAGACTTTAAAAGGTAATACTTAGAGAGAGAGAAAAAGAGAACAGAAGGGGCAGAGAAAAAGGGAGAGTAAGAGAATTCCAAGCATGAGAGCCCAATGTTGGGCTTGAACTCACAATCCATGAGATCACAACCTGAGCCAAAATCAAGAGTTGGATGCTCAGCCATCTGAGCCCCCAAGATTCCCCTAAATATGTAACGTTTTATTTATTTATTTGTTTTTTATTTTTTTAAATATTTCTTTTTTTAAAAAAATGTTTTTTTTAAATGTTTTTATTTATTTCTAGGAGAGAGAGAGAGAGACAGCGTGAGCAGGGGAGGGTCAAAGAGAGAGGAAGTCACAGACTGAAACAGGCTCCAGGCTCTGAGCTGGCAGTCAGCACAGAGCCCGATGCGGGGCTCGAATCCACGAACCGCGAGATCATGACCTAAGCGAAAGTTGGACGCTTAACTGACTAAGCCACCCAGGCGCCCCCAAAAATGTTTTATTTTTGAAAGAGCAAGAGACAGAGTGTCTGTGAGCTTGGGGGCACAAGCAGGGGAGGGGCAGAGAGAGAGAGAGAGAGAGAGAGAGGAGAGACAGAGGATCTGAAGCGGACCCTGCACTTACAGCAGCGAGCCTGATGTAGGGCTATGGACTCACAAACTGCGAGATCATGACCTGAACAGAAATCAGTTCAATTGACTGAGCCACCCAGGTTC